CTCGAATTAGCAGACGCGGCCCGAGCCTTGCAGATTCGTGCATTCACCTCATCTGTCACACTACAGTCAGAACTAATACAACTTCCAAGATACGTAAACGCTCCACTACTTACAGTACCTCTCCCTGGATTGTAAGGGACATGTTCAGTGACTGCACGTCCACAAGCATGACCTTACACTTTGTAGGTGCAAAGTGCATACCAAAGGAATATTTGCGCCTTCTCCGCCTCTTCGAACATGAGAACGATGTCGTCTGCATATTCCAGATCGACAGGGTTTTCTTCACAGGCTATTTGAACACCAGGGTTTTGGAGACCCTCCAATAGATCTTGTACCTTTGACTCAAGTAATAACCATTGGGACGTGGTTGGGAGATTTTCAGGATTAGAGCGTGCACTTCTGTTAGGCGACAGTTTTTCTCGTTTCGAGTAGTTGGGCCTGAATGGGACGTTTACGTTGCGTCCGAGAACTAGTTAGACGATAGGAACAAGAGTGGGTGAACCGAAGTGTGCACACAGATTCAGTAGGAATATATGGGGTGGTTATAATAGACAATAATTTTTACATTCACCCTGGCATCCTTTCAATGGGCGCGTATGAGCTGGGTAGATAGGGGATGATGTACTGCATCAGGCTTCTCTGTTTCTCAAACTGTAAAGATGAACGCCTCGCTGTCCTAAAATTTCAGGATGGTACCAAAGAGGATTCAGATGTTTGAGAGCTATTCGGGTGACGTCAGGTTGTTTCAACCGCATCTGTGTGTTCGGTGTGCCTATTGGATTCGGATAGATTGAGATCGTTGTCAGTTGTATTCGGAACTGCTGAGGCTAGACGGCGTACGGATACGATTTCGACTCTTCCGTCTCGATTAATAGTATGTGCATAGTGTAGGTTGCAATTCAGTAGGTCGACCTCCTCCACTAGCGGTTGGTACTTGAATGGCCTGTCGCCTCGCTACAACAGGACTGGACCAGGGGTGGCCAACCAAGATGGTAACTAGATTCAAAAGGTTGAGTGACTTGCGTATTGAAACAAATGTCCATGTGGAGTACGGCAGCTAACAGCAGTTAGGGGCCGTACATAGCAGTGACCGGAGGCTATGGAGAGCATCAGGAAGTACTGATGAGGTGGTGGCGTATTGTGGGTTTTCAATGCCAAGCTTATTGTTCACCAGAGGGTACCGTTGATATGCCCAATCTGCCCTTTACACTGTGGATTATAGGTCGATGAATGAACCATAGCAACACCTTCCTCCAGGAGAAAACTTTTAATCTCAGACGACATTAACGATGGGCCTCTGTTGGAATAAATTAGGCCTGTATTTCGAATAATTGGGGGATTTGTGTAAGACTGTCAATCATAGTTGCTGAAGTTATATCCCCACACGGGAATCTGGAGAACTCGTCAATCCTCGTGAGATTGCATGTAATAGGTAGTTGGAAACCTTTTATTTCAAGAACTTTTAATACCCAACCTCAAGCGCTCAGGAGATTGTGTTGCTTTAATGCGTCTGCCGGAGGATTTCCAGAATCTCGGCATCGGCTCGGCACATGTAGGAGAAAGTAATACGCTTGACATCGTCGACGGAGTAGGTGATATTCTTGTCACACACAAAACCGAAGCGTACAATGATTCCTGGGTAGCGGAGTGAGTTATGGAGTTTTCTAAGTTGATTGTTTCTCCGCACGAAAGCAAATACGCTGCACGAGTGTCTTCGACATGGTTGTCCTATCATACCGATAGACAACATCATACTTGTACTCGGATAAATCAGTCCTCCAGCGCTGTGTTACCATTTTTCACTTTACTCTTCTGTCCACCCCCGTACATGAATGCGATCCGTGATCAATTTGTAGAGTTTTCCGAGAAGATGGTACCGCCATTTCCTGATGGATTCGACGATAGTGTACGCCTCCTCGATGGCAGAATGAGTCTTTTCTCTCGAATTGAATGTCCTCGAGAGAAAGGTCAGCGGTCAATGGTTTTGGTTGGGGGATGTGGCTATGTGAACATCTGAAGCATCCGTTTCAACAACCAAATTCTCATTATAATCTATTGTAACCAGCACAGCATTTTTAGTTATTTCTTGTTTCAAAAAGGATGATTCGACCTTGTTAGAGAGGGGATATGTTTTATTCTTTATCAGCTAGGTAATTTTGTTGGAAAACGAAAATGTCCAATGGACATAATATGCGAACATACCGATGGAGCATTGCATTTCCGTTGTAGTACGCGGAAGTAACTGACCGGTGGGTTCCATACTTTCAGGGTCGGGTCTTGTGATACCCTTCGAAACCGTATGGCCTAGCAGGCAGATACCTTTTGAAGCAGTGGTGGTCTTGTTTTCGTTGAGTGTGATTCCACACTTCCTCGTAGCTTTTAAAGACGATTGGAGATCGAGGTCATGTTTCTCTTCGATATTGCCGCAGACGGTTACATTGTCTGTGTAGTTATACATGCTTTCAAGCTTTTCCGACCTATAATATGGTTAATAGTTCGCTGAAAGCACGGTGCACAATTTGTGACACTGTGGGGCATGTGACCTAAATGAAATGACTACTGCAGGCTTCGATTACTGTAAAAGGTTTTTCGAATGCAGAGGTCAGGACTTGATGGTAAGCATACAAGAGGTCTAGTCTACCGTAGACGTTGTAATTCGAAATTTATTCAACCCTTTTGTCCAGGCGTGGCAGAGGGTGTGCCTCCAGATATGGGAACTGATCGGCAGTTTGGCTTTAGTCCATAACCATTCGGTTTTTATGTTGACATTCTTGATAACCAAAACTTACCCTCTTCAGGGAGACGTTGATGGGTGGATTATACCTTCTTACAATAAGCGATCAACTTCGACGCAAATGAATTCTTCATCATCTGGATAATATCATCTTGATTTGGTGGCAACGGGCTTGCAATCTGCAAATCACTTGACGGAAAGTGACGGTGATCCAACGTTTACTGCAGTCAGGCCATAGATGCTGAGCGTATCACGATCCCCGCCGAACAAAATTCCTATCTTACCTTGTAGACCTAGGAAAACATACCCGAGTAGAAAGTCGCTGCAGAGGTTCGGCACCACAAAGATCCTCAAATTATTGCATTATTTGCCTCTTTATCGTATAGAAACAAGCCTAACCGGTCCATTGACAGGATAGTGGTGTAGGCGCCATCCTGACGGCTGAGAAAGTTGGGTAAATTGTCCAATTATGTAGTTTCATGACGTTACAACTGATGAAACTACAAGAACTTCCTGTATCGACCGAAGCACGGAGAACGGCGTTATTGACTTTAACAATTGAAATTGGACATGCCAGGCAGGTAGTTGCTGCTGCAAGTGATACCAACGATAAAGTGGGCTTCATTGTACAAGTTTATGGAACTTGGTGGTATTTTTTGAACGGCACCTGTGCTAGAAGTGACCACTTTTACTGCAAAGAGTACGAACGGCTTCGTGGGCTGCTAAGGTAACCCGAGCCACTGTACCCGCGTACAGGGTTCACAGCTGTCGAATTGAACTGGACGGAACTCTTGGTGACTGCAAATGACGACGAAAGCTGGTCTCAAATATGAATGTAGCATGTTTTGTCCCCATAATATGCTTTCTTGTGATTTCTGTGAAAAGTGAAACCCCACTGTGGTTGTCGATCCGCAGGATCGAATGCAGTCCTGGTATCCAGGTAAACGGCGATTATGTTTTTCGAATGTATTCTGTGACGTTTTAAAGGTTGAAATAGCCCCAAGTTCGAAACCACCTGACAGAGTCCAAACCATGTGAAAGCAAAAATGACGTGCCACAACAACTATTATTTTTCGATCAGAATAAAGAGGGTGAATATATGAAGTTCACTGTTGTCTGTCAAAAGTATAGGATGTTCGAAATTTCGCCAGTGGACAGCGTATAGGCATCTCATCTGAACTAGGTTCTCAGTGTTTGAATGAACTTTCCTACCTACGTCTGGACTGTCCAATATAGCACTAACTATTCGTCGCATTAATCTGCACACCTTCAACCTACTGCTGATGAACGAGTTGTCATTTCTAGTTTGTCACCTCTATTTGGGCCTGTCATTCACTCTTCCCTGGATGAAGCTTATTCATTTAGTCTACGTGAAGCTCATCCTTCCATTTTTCTTACAGAATTTCGGTTGTCCATAGTTGTTTCCTCGCCGAGTTCGCAACTTCGGGTCCTCCATTACGTCAAAATGGTAAGTTGCCCTTGAGGATCGCTTTGTATGAATGCCACTGGGTTTCCGGACCTTAGCGTGTACTGTCTCCGTCCACTTTCATTCTAGGGTGAACGGAAAGGAACAAACAAATACTATCCGCCAGACTTTGACCCAAAAGTACACAAAAACCTCAACGCATACCATGGAACTCATGCGCTCCGCGAACGTGGTCGTAAAGCTTCACAAGGCATACTCATCATTCGTTTTGAAATGCCTTTCAACTGTTGGTGTCTTACTTGTAAAAATCCTATTGGAATGGGTGTGCGCTATAATGCAGAAAAAACGAAAGTTGGCATGTACCACTCCACTCCGATATATAAGTTCACCATGCCTTGTCACTTGTGTGCTGGAACCATTGTTATGCAGACGGACCCTAAAAACTTCACCTACATTATCCTAGAAGGGGCAAGGAGAAAAGTTCAAAACTGGGACGCCGAAGATAATGAACAACCAGTGATTCCAGGTATTTTCCTAAGTATTGTATCCGTAGATTAGCCGATGATAGATTTGGCTAGTTCCTTGTTTCGATATACTTCTTAGTGTTTACGGGTTGTATTTACTACTACTAGTTTATTTATCTATATTATTTATTTCGTCTCTAGTAATTCTGCTATCTTTATTTTCGTTTTTTTCAAAGATGCCGAAGAGAAACGGAAGTTGGCATTGGATGCCATGTATCATCTCGAACACGAACATGTGGATAAAACGAAAGGCCAATCAGTTTTACCTGCTATACAACAACTAGAGACGGACAGGAAATCGCTTAGAGACGATTTTGCTCTAAACACCCTGGCTCGAAAACATTTTCGGGTAAATACTGTTCCGTTGATTTGTAAATGTGGGATTTTTATGAAGACTGTCCGATTTTGTGGGCAGCGAAAGACCCAAGCGATTTTTTCTAACCTGAAGGAACTGCGAATTTTCCTTCCATGGTTCACCTCCCTTAGGATAGATCAATTTAGGTTCTTTTCAGAAAAGTGGAATGTTGAATCATAATTCCCTAGCAGGATGTACAGAAAAACTAATCAGTGACCTCGTGTACTTTCGCAGTCGTTGAGCCGCTTCCTCTCATAGATTTTACAACCGCATTTTCTGTTGTCTACAAGTTACCTCAGAGCACTTAGTAAAATACTCAGTGCAAAAGCTGTGATCATCAGGATCCAGGCGTTTGAGTTCCATGCTCCAGCGTCCAAAAGCTCTGCCTACATTTGGACCCAGCTTTTACTGATCACCAGCTGATGTACAGGTGTAAACATCTGCTGTCTGAGTGGATGGCTTTCTGCTGCAACCGTATCTTATCGGTATTAATAATGTCCGAATGTTTGGAAGCTCTTTGATGCGATACGTCTCCTATTGATTGGCGGCCAGCTTTCTGGGTGTATTTTTCCTTCTCTTCTTCCGGGTCGATGCTTCTTGTCGTTTCACTCCTCGATTCCCAGGTAAAGTTATAAGCCATCGTCTCCCGTGCTGCCTGCTTTTCGTGAACTAGTGAGGGCTAACTTTAGAATTTCAACACTCACAGTTAAATGTTACTGAACTTTTAAGCTTTCCCAAGTATCATTTATATTGATTCTGTGGGACTAGACTACACTGTTACTGATAACATATTACTGCGACACTATCAGGTTGTGTATGTAAATTTGTTTAACCCATTACGCGAGGTTAAAAGCGATATAATTGAATACTCGAATGAGCGAATTCTTCCTAGTATATTGTGGCTGATAGTCACGTGATGTTGCTAGCTGGCAGGATAACGTCAGTGTGCTGCATAGAGTAGGATCCCCACTTAAGAGCTGATCAAGTGTAATTAAAAAGGAAAGATCAAAAGATTGACATCGCTCAATCATTCAAGCGTGCTACTCATGACCATTTTGAGGATGCGAATTCATCGAGCCAAAACTGTCCCTTGTTTTCCACTGATTAAACGTATTTACCAGTGAAATGGTTCTTTCCGTATCACAACCAACCAACTCAAAACTTCACAATTGACTAGATGCATCAGTACACAGTAACTAGTGTGTAATTGAGTGGCTACTGCTCTTTTCCCCTCAATCGCTTTAAATCTGGAAGCGGAGTGGACAACCTACATCTATTCCGCCATATTTGGAGGCGTCGCAAGAAATGGCGGCTAATCGATATCAGTGGCGTTCGTGCTGCCATTTTCTTCCCAGATTGTGTGATCGAGCAGTTGGAGGTGTAGGCACCTTTCTTGTTCTCTTTCTGAATGATGTGTATTTGTCCCATTCACGAACGACTTCTTAGATTGTTTTTGTGGTACTGAAGGCTTTCGAATGCTTTTTGTCCTCATTTCCAAGCCATTCCGTGCTTTCCACTCATACCCGTCATGACTAGTAAGCTTTATCCCCGTTATCTTTGCCAGAGTGGTTGAGTGACGCTTAACTGGACCGATTCACACTTGTATCCGTGATTCCGTACATGACGGCGTTCCTCTTTTATAGGTTGCGAAACGTGCGGCTGCGGAAAAAGCAGATTCGGAGCAGAAGCTTATGAACCGTCTCTCCCTGTTCGGCTCTGAGGTCACATTGCTCCCTGAAGACCAAACTGATTTGAGGACTGCCAAGCTAATCCGCCTTGGCCACACACAACGAAGTATGTATTTCTTCATCTCAGAGTTTGGATGTCGCCGTGACACTATCTTTTTCCGCACCTTTTATTTTCATTGATAATTTGGAAGGGTAGCATCTCGACTTCTCCGGTATCGGCTTGGGCAGTCTGGCAGTATTCCAGCCATCGTGCTTCCCTCTGGCGGTGTAACAGCTAGGCACCGGAAGGCTCTTACAGCTGATCGATTTTTTTCGACCAGGGTAGCAGCAATTCATCGCTACTTAGACCCCGGGTGAATCTGGTTCCTCTCAGCTGACTAGATCGGGAGCACACCGTTACTTATAGATTTTCTATCTTCCTTCTTACCTCTATATTTCCCCTCCAAGGAGGCTAGTGTCCATTATGTTATCTTCTTTCCCTTGCAGAAAACTCGGAGAGTAAGCTTCGCTCTACCGATAACGATCCGATTTTTGGTGTGGCGAAAGACATACCTCCTCGAAAACGACGCAGTAGTGTTGGTGATCAGCCCACTGGAGATGCGTCATCGAGCCATTCGAACAGCACAGGTGCCTCTACGCCAAAAAATTCGTTGTTTGAACCTTTAGCAAATCTTTCCAAAAAATTGAAGCAGCGTAGTGAGGCGTTCTCAATTTCAGACAAGACCAAGGTTCCTACACCGGGTTTGATAAGAATCGGGGCCTCAATTTGCACTGCTAACCATTCGCGGCAGTGCAAGGACGAGACTGCAACTCACGATGGTGCTCACGGATCTGTGCCCGCAGTTGAAGAGAATGGCGGCTTAGTATCTTATAGCGACAGTGATACGGAATGAAAATGGCGCCGCTTACTTGAGCACTCAATACTCATTTTGCCTGCCCACTGACAAGTCTACCGGACCGATGGGACCTGACGGTAAACTCCGATTCTCGACGAATGGGTGATTTCCGGGTGCCGCCAATATCTGACGGAAGCAACTGATCTGCTAATCCCATCTCGAATAAAAACTTTGACTTACTTGAGTGCTTCTTCATTAAAACGAAATAAAACGCCTATTCTTATTTATTTCCTGACAGGAGCTGGTGCTTTTCGGTGGTTGCTATACTTTTCGCCTCACAAGTGACCTAGGATTGTGTATGTCGTTACGATGGCGGCGCAAGCTACGGAGAAGGGTACTAAATATCTCTCCAATCTTGGATAGTGGACTGATTTTAGTTTCTTCGTTGTACGTGAAAGAGGCTAATCCGGAACCGGGTGCTAACCCGCCATTATTTCGTTGTCTGAAAGTTCAGATAGTTTTTGGAAATGGTGTGCCCGTAGGCTGGTTGATGCATCCTTGTTTCGTACCGAGTAATCTTTTGATTATTCTCGGAATAGCTTTACAGTAGATGGGTGCAATTCCTTCTTGTAGATGAGTTGCCAGTTCTGATGATCAAACATCGAGAGCCTCGGTTTATTCTTTACATGCCATGCTTTTACCCATACGATGAAAGTGGGTACTCTGCAGTAGGCTACATCAGTTTTGACATGGGTGAATATCGTGTTACTCTAAAATTCTGTTCTCGTGATTCTATTTTGATTCTTCCTGACCTAGGTGGTTTAAATGGGTTCTGTTAGTTTCAAATGCAGGTCCTGGCTTCTGTAGGACAACGTGCATACGTAACCGTACCCCCGAACTATCTGCTTTAGCGCTTTCAACTTTCTGTAGGATATCACCGAGCTGTACATGTTCGTCTTAAATGAATGAACAGTACATAGGAGTTTTAACCGGATAATTATCAGGGACTTGGGTAAGAAGGTTCAGCTGAGGCGGATCTACACTCCCGACGTGGAGAATTCGGATGTAACGTCGTGGTCTCTTATATGTCTCCACATAAGCTAGCACATACTGTCGTCAGAAAGGCCGAATAGTCTACTCCGCACAACTATATCCAGCTTTTAGATTACAGTAGTTTCTGGCAGTTGCATATTATTGGGACAATCGGTTATTCACGATACAGTGTTTGTGAACTTATAAAGGCTACGAAAACGATCCTTTCTCGAGATTACAACCCGTCATGTGGGCTGAATGCTGCACATACCTGTGGCTAGGATTGCTCCCAGCTGACATTTGGATGAACTTGCTCAATCTAATCACCCTAGTTTTTCGATGCCAACCCTATGACTGGGTTTATTAATTCGGGTCGGGATTACACACGATTCAGGCAACCACACATCTGCTAACCCAGATGAATGTCCCTACATTTGGTGATTCAAATTGCAACGTCGGCTCTATCTTACCACACCTTTATTTCTGTATTTAGATTGAATCCGTTAAGAATTTGCTGTGTTGTGATGCCCGAAGATGAGAATGTTTTACGTTCTGTTTGGGAAGCCAAACTACCCGTATGTTTCAAACTTGCACAGGAGGATTTGGTTCGTGAGGACCACGTTCCCGTCCCTTTTTATGTAAGTGGTCTTCTTCCCTAAGTATTTTTCTCTTAGAGCTGTTTATGGTTCGCTGTAGTTATAGTTGTCTGCAACAAGTATTAAAGAGGATTCCTTGTCCTGTCCTAGGCGACTTTGCTGTAGTCTTTCGTGGGAACACTTGTTTCTTGCAAACCAGGAAGTCTATAAGTTTATCGTTTACCTCGGGCTGGGGATGAGCCGCGAGGTAGACAAACGAGGTCGATCTCTTACAATTGTACATTTTCCTTGCCCAAGTGGACTTTTGATGTATACAGTCACGCAACAAGTTCTTACCGGTACATGCCGCAGTTGAGAACATTTTAGGTATTGTCACGTGCTTTTTAAGCGGTCGAGATGTATTTACTTGTTACTCTTTTTCACTCCATCCGCAGTGATTCCTGTCGAAAAAATATCCTCTGAACACGTGTTTGTGTCCGTAAATCGTAGTGGTTACAGTAAATTTGTCGTGGTGAAATGTGAATGTACTGATCACAGATCATCACACGCTTTCAGGTTAATTTCGTAACCCTCTAAAAAGTCTATTTCATGATACGCCGTAAAATGGTGCCTGTTGTAAGACGAATTTCGGACCATCAGTTTATTGAATCAATTATGATTCAGAACCCATGTAGAGGCTCATGTGCAAGACTAAATAATCAGGTGGGTGCCATGTTATTGATGTAATCTTTTTGAGCGATTCCATGAGATATCCAACTGGTTTGGTTGAATAATCGAGTCAAAAGTAGATTTATGCACCTCGAAAAGTGAGTTTTCAGCAAACGAACTCCTGTATAATAGGCGTGTATAACTTCGGATTATAGCCCAATAGAAGTGAATTTGACGATAAGGCACGATAAACTGATTCGGGATTAACATGATAACAAGCTGTGGTGAATCACGTAATTACGGCACATGGTAGTTCTCGTAGGTAGAAGTTTCTACTTGGATGCGTTCAAGAAGTCGAAATGGTCTGAAATAAATTTTGGAGTGTTAACCATCCGATAATACTTTTTGAATAGTTATTGGAGGCAGCAAAGTGCTTTCCGATGATCAGGTCGGTCAAAATAATCCTGGAGATTTCACCGCTCTTAGAGACATGTTTGAGTGACCTAACCGGGAGTTAGTAATCCTTGTTTAAAGTGCCATGGAATTTGACAATCGAACGTTAAATCCAATTGGGAAGAGTTCATGCAATAACAAATCTGTAAATGGTATTCAGACGAACGGACAGCTGTTTCAGTTTGATTACACAGGAAAGTCACCGCACATCGATAAAATAACCCCAAACGCGAGGCGACACTGATGTTGCTAGCTCTGGGAAGCTCCTGGTGTTTCGAACCAGTGAGTTTTGGAAGGGATCTCTTATCAACTGTAAGCTGTGGCAGCCACGATGTTGGCTGTGCTTACGTGGAAAGAGAAAAGAATAACACTTAGGTATTTGGAAATTTTCATAAAAACCGATCATTCTCGGTCCACTTATCACGTATCGTACTTAAATGTGTGACTCTGAACTGTAATTCCGCAATCACCAGCTCAGTCAATGGCATAGAAAACCAGAAACGAGTAGATAATGGACATACAAGGCCGAAAATTAGGGGAAAAGAGCAATGTCTACCGAAACGCCCGTTTTGCTTGATGTTGATGAGAAACCCCGGCTGCTCAGGCATGTGAATTGAGCCCCGTCATGCAGTCATAGGTTGATCAAAGATCGTTGGTTGTCCTTTGGCGAGATGCTTCAACAGTAGACGACAACCGACACTTTCAAAAGAAATTGTTCAATCTAAGAAGGAGCTCGACATAGTTTCGTGGTCAAGGCGCCAATTTGCGGACCGGAAGGTCCATGGTCCGAACCCAGTCTCAGCATCTTGACTGTTCCTGTCTAGGCTTGGGCAACTGGGCTACAGCTGGACTTGTTTTTGTTTTTTATTGTTTTTCCAGTACTGAAGAGACCATGCAAAAGGTATGCAGTGACATCCATTGTAGAGCGACATTTTGGCTAAGCAAACTTGTACCTACTTTCAGCCAAGTCGCCGGGATCTAATCTTGATAGGATCGCCTTTTCAGGTACTTTTAAAAATACGAATGTGCAGGCAGTCGGGAGTCTCCTTCCTAGATGCAAAGCTTACCTTAACTGTCCTTCACAAATCAGGGATCTTTTCCACTGGTTAACATAGTTTTCGCACAAGATCGGGTTTGGTTTGGATTTAGCTGGAACGCCATCTCTACTCCGTATTTGTTGTCACTGTCAAAGTGTCCGTTTTCAGTTGTGTGTTACAGCAATATCCAAGCAGGGCTTGTCAATTCATAATTGAGCATGTCCAGACCAGTGCTCTTCGAATAAGACCCGAATCCCTCCAATACATCAACCGTTGGTTTTGTGTAACTATTTTCCGCAGATGCTCGTTCCTCGCGTTTCCTATTTCCCGCTGGTGATCGATCGAGTTGTTCGATATTTTATCGAATTCACGGAATACGCATCTCACTTCGGTGATCAGATGAAGGAACTGGGAACGGAAGTTAACAAAGCCACAGAAATAGGTGTTGAAGCCGGCAGGGCGTTTGACTCTGCTGGAAAGACTGTTGGGCCAGAGATTCAACGACTGAGTAGCGCTGTTCCACCAGAGCACCGGGTTTGGTTGGAGTACGCCCATCAACCGCTGAAATGGTAAGTTGCTTGGCAGTGACGTTCAGCAATGTGTCCACTTTTGTATCAGTATCTGAACTTCTCATCGATAAGCATTCTGGTGTTTTTATTTGGATATCTGAGTAGAGCGGGAGGGGGATTTCTGGATTAGCAATCTGAAATGAACTGGATTTGAAGGTAAAGTATTCTATAAGGGGCCTAAAACCTCACCAGGACATCTTTACCTCATATCTTAGCATTTTTAGGTTTCTGTTGGTACATGCGGAAAACCTTGGAAACTCTACCGAACCAAAGTCGTAGTTTTCGCAAGAAAAATGATGGTATCTTTCACGTCTTTATTTAGGGAACAATCAGTGTACAGGTTCCCGTGACCTAGTTTTTCGTTGTGAGTTCGCCCTGTCAGCGAAGCCGATCAATGCTGAAAAGCTGAAAAACACTGTACAACTGTTTCATCCCTATTGGAAGTTACCAGCTGTACGCATCTCACGAAACTCAGAGTTTCGAACCCGGAGCTTTCCAGACAATGGTTGAACAAAGCTGTGCGGCCACGAGCGACTGAACAGCAATGTGAATAGCTCTCATTTAGACAAGACATCACCACTCATCCCTCAACTACAAAACCCCCATCACATGGACACCTATTGAATGGCTTCTCGGGTGACGGCTTCTCAGAAGGAAGTCGGCGAACTTCATGAGAAGAGGGGAATTCACTGGTAATTCCTTTTCGATCGTCGGCAACGTTTACATCCAGTTTTCAGACGTCCTGAATGAACCGACAGCCATCTGACCAACAACCAAAGACTTTTTGTAGTTTGGTGAATTACGCTTGTACGCACACAGGATTTTTGTTTCTGTTCAGATTTTTCAGTTCTAACTACTAGCGCTTACAGCTGGGAATCTTTGAGTAGTTTGTTTGTGAAGCGTACATTGTGGACTACTTTCGAGGGCTTCTGGATATCTACGCTGCTGAGGTTATTTTCCTTCCTTAGTGCCACCTGGATTTCTGTCTGTCTTTTCACAACATTCTCAACGCGATGCATAGTGACCAAATATTTTAGATCGATGCCCCAATCGCTTCCCCACTCAACTGGTCAACTTCCTGTATTTTCTATCAAAACCAGTGAAGAATAACACGGAGTCGAGTGGCTTAACCGTTGAACTATAGGGAACCATTATCGCCTACGGCACTGTTATCCTCGAATCAAACTGCTGAACAGACATACGCAGATGCCACCAAATAAACTACGACAACTTCGTTTGATTTTTAAGGTAAATTTCAATATTTCATTTCAGGCATTATCCCATCGGTCTTTTATTCGATCTGCACGCGGATGGTACAGAGCTCCCATGGAATGTAACTGTCCATTTCCACGTAAGTCTCCTGCTTGCACTTTCATCCATTTGTACTACTCAGTTTCTCTTTCCACACTTTATCGCAGTAGTCCCCGCTTACAAAATAAATGCTTTGGATATCAACTGACTATATGAAGCCAAATATATCTAGTTTGAGCTTTGGTTATCTTACTAACTAACTATCTTACTAACTACTTACACAAACTCGAGTAACATCGTAAGTATGCTGTTTACGGCAACCTTGGCAGATTTCGCACTTCGTCTTAATCAGGGTGTGGACTGCCTGTGCGCATAGGAGGATAATCACATGGAGAACCTACCAAATAAGACACCAGCCAAAGGATACTCGTACATTGTTTTCATCAAACTTTATGGGTTTCGCGATGCATTGTGATTGATTCACATGCTCCAGTAGAACGCTGTAAACGTTAGTTTGGATTGAATCTAATTTGCGTTAACCCATTTGGAGGTGTTTTGTTGATCAGTGGCATCGATTTTTCCAGGATCTATGTATTAGGTGACACCATCAACAGTCCATCATTTGAATCTGCAAGTTTCCATCAAGTCCTCAATTAGCTGATATAATGTTGGGACTTCTGTGTCCAATAGTGAACCACATCGTCATTCGTGTCCCTACCCAGTGCTCTGACAGCGTTATTTCGGATTCATCAGCAGCACTTATTACACAACAATCAGAGATCATCTGCTGATTGCCCCGAACGGCTGACTGAAGTGACCCTTGGTTGAACTGCAGTAGCAGTGAAACACCACCACTGGCTCAACTATTGATGACTAAGCTGAACAGGCTGAATGTTGCTGCGTTGGACCGTTATACCGACTAAATAGCCCGGTACTGAGTTATCCTGAACCAGTGGATTCTAACATAGCTTCTCGCACGTTTTTGTCACGCTTGTTTGCCAGTGATAGTAATGATCATCTGTTGTGATTCTTATCTGAGATGTACGCATCTCACGAAACTCAGAGTTTCGAACCCGGAGCTTTCCAGACAATGGTTGAACAAAGCTGTGCGGCCACGAGCGACTGAACAGCAATGTGAATAGCTCTCATTTAGACAAGACATCACCACTCATCCCTCAACTACAAAACCCCCATCACATGGACACCTATTGAATGGCTTCTCGGGTGACGGATTCTCAGAAGGAAGTCGGCGAACTTCATGAGAAGAGGGGAATTCACTGGTAATTCCTTTTCGATCGTCGGCAACGTTTACATCCAGTTTTCAGACGTCCTGAATGAACCGACAGCCATCTGACCAACAACCAAAGACTTTTTGTAGTTTGGTGAATTACGCTTGTACGCACACAGGATTTTTGTTTCTGTTCAGATTTTTCAGTTCTAACTACTAGCGCTTACAGCTGGGAATCTTTGAGTAGTTTGTTTGTGAAGCGTACATTGTGGACTACTTTCGAGGGCTTCTGGATATCTACGCTGCTGAGGTTATTTTCCTTCCTTAGTGCCACCTGGATTTCTGTCTGTCTTTTCACAACATTCTCAACGCGATGCATAGTGACCAAATATTTTAGATCGATGCCCCAATCGCTTCCCCACTCAACTGGTCAACTTCCTGTATTTTCTATCAAAACCAGTGAAGAATAACACGGAGTCGAGTGGCTTAACCGTTGAACTATAGGGAACCATTATCGCCTACGGCACTGTTATCCTCGAATCAAACTGCTGAACAGACATACGCAGATGCCACCAAATAAACTACGACAACTTCGTTTGATTTTTAAGGTAAATTTCAATATTTCATTTCAGGCATTATCCCATCGGTCTTTTATTCGATCTGCACGCGGATGGTACAGAGCTCCCATGGAATGTAACTGTCCATTTCCACGTAAGTCTCCTGCTTGCACTTTCATCCATTTGTACTACTCAGTTTCTCTTTCCACACTTTATCGCAGTAGTCCCCGCTTACAAAATAAATGCTTTGGATATCAACTGACTATATGAAGCCAAATATATCTAGTTTGAGCTTTGGTTATCTTACTAACTAACTATCTTACTAACTACTTACACAAACTCGAGTAACATCGTAAGTATGCTGTTTACGGCAACCTTGGCAGATTTCGCACTTCGTCTTAATCAGGGTGTGGACTGCCTGTGCGCATAGGAGGATAATCACATGGAGAACCTACCAAATAAGACACCAGCCAAAGGATACTCGTACATTGTTTTCATCAAACTTTATGGGTTTCGCGATGCATTGTGATTGATTCACATGCTCCAGTAGAACGCTGTAAACGTTAGTTTGGATTGAATCTAATTTGCGTTAACCCATTTGGAGGTGTTTTGTTGATCAGTGGCATCGATTTTTCCAGGATCTATGTATTAGGTGACACCATCAACAGTCCATCATTTGAATCTGCAAGTTTCCATCAAGTCCTCAATTAGCTGATATAATGTTGGGACTTCTGTGTCCAATAGTGAACCACATCGTCATTCGTGTCCCTACCCAGTGCTCTGACAGCGTTATTTCGGATTCATCAGCAGCACTTATTACACAACAATCAGAGATCATCTGCTGATTGCCCCGAACGGCTGACTGAAGTGACCCTTGGTTGAACTGCAGTAGCAGTGAAACACCACCACTGGCTCAACTATTGATGACTAAGCTGAACAGGCTGAATGTTGCTGCGTTGGACCGTTATACCGACTAAATAGCCCGGTACTGAGTTATCCTGAACCAGTGGATTCTAACATAGCTTCTCGCACGTTTTTGTCACGCTTGTTTGCCAGTGATAGTAATGATCATCTGTTGTGATTCTTATCTGAGAGTTTTTCTAGGATGAGGAAACTAGTATTTTCTTGTTGAGAGTTTTCTAACGAGGAACGAAAGATTAATGTACCAAGTTTTAATGCCGTGTCGAGTTCCTCGTCCTCTTTTCCTTGTTTCGCTTCACCGGCTGTGGAGCGCATTACAGAGTATAGACTAGCGATGCTGCACTGGTAGCTCGCGATATGAGCGCTTTCTTCTATTGCACTTTATTCTCCCTGAAGAAATGTAGCATCGGCGCGTCTCTCTTGACCACTCTGTGCGTACATGGCGCACACGGCAACACAGAATACATAGGACAGTTTGGTTCCACTAGAAGTGTTCATTTAGGTCTTTCCAGTACCGGTCACTGAGGCAAGTTTGGTGCGAATTAACCATTTGCTAGCGAACGTCTGTGTATTGGTTATCCAATACAATATCTGAATATTCAACGAAAACCTTCTATAGCGGTCTAAGATAACTTTAAGTTGTTTTTACAGATAGTCTTATGCAAAGCCAAAGCAGCTTTTAGCTGGAAAACCGAGGGACACTTACTCTGACTGGTGCGACACACTGGTCATCGGCTCGAGTTCTAGGTAACATTTGGTATTCAAGGGACCAAGTGACCTGATTATTCCAAAGTGGATTGTTGTGGACCACAGTCCTCCTAATGCCTCCTTAATACCATGAACCCGAGTTTAGATAGCCGCTTGATACCCTGATGCGATTAGCCAATGAACGTGCGAATCAGCTGATCTATCAAAAACTGATGTGCATAGGCATGCAATGTGCAACCGAAACGGGTTGTTTACAAAGCTCACGTGGAACGTTCTGGGCAGGTCAAAAGCGGTACTAAAAATAGAATTCATCTGTCAAGGCCAAGTGAAAAACAACCAGTTAAACCTATCTCAACGGAAACGGTTATTTCATTGGCTGTTGTGTAGTCCAGTTACGTTTGGAGCTGGTTCTCCTAATGCGCATGTTTGCCTCGTCGTGTATAAAAACACAACCAGGTACCCGTGACTCGAAAGGCCCTTCAAACTTTCTGTAAAATATTTCTAGCGGATGGTTTACTTTCCGCGGTTCTCAGTAGGCGTGAGAGAGCACAGCAATGCCCATCATCTGTGTAACGAAGGGACTGAACCTTACAATGGTGTGACGGTTTGCGTACCTTTGTGACCCATTGAGCTATACTTGGTGGTATCCGTGCAGCACTCGGTCTTTCATACCGAGCTGGTCAATACTTAGGGGGTCTGACCAGTACAGTCTCCTGGCCATCCGTGTTGGAGACTGGAACATGCGTACTGAATTGTTGTTTAAAAATGGTTATGCACTTGTATTTTCTGCCAAACACCCCTGCTTTGCGGTCAGGCTTTTGAGCTAAAAGCTTTGATTGATGACCCTAGTCATCCTTTTGTCTAGATCTGGACGCCAAGGCAGTATACCAGCCCACGTACAACCGTGACATTTACAACTAACAGTGACCTCGTGCCACATCGGCCGTTGCATGATGTCACCAGCCTGGTAGCCTTACTTGCTGCATACAACAGGGCGGGTAAGCGGAAACGTCACTGCTGACGCCACAGTTCTTACACTTTCAAGTTTTACCCCTTCTGTCCTATCCCACTCATGTTTGAAGGGGGACGAGATCGCCCAAGTGGTTAGAGCGCGAATTTACTGACCGGAAGATTCGTGGTTCGAATCCCACCTACGCCATCCGACTTCCCTGTCTAGGTTTGGGCAACCTGGCATTATCCCAGCCCTCGTGCTTCCTTCGGGTGGCATGGCAGCTAGGCACCGGAAGGGTGCTACAGCTGAACGCTTTTTGAATAGTTTCTCCGCATGTCCGAGCACTAGGACTGGGCGCTTTGTTCACCGTGCTTCACTTGCAGCTACAGCTTCTATACGTTTGACTTCATTAACAACCCTAAACACTTCAAAATCTGTTTTCAAACCCCTAAAGCCAATCTATTTAGCTGCTTTTAATGTTTGCATACCGAAACAGGCAGGACAACTAATGGATCTTGCTCGTACGCAGGACGTCCTCTGCATTAATGTATTTTGTCTGTCTGAAACAAGGGTACAGGACGCAGGTGCCTCATTTGAGCTGACTACTCCCCTGGCCCTCTTCCATTTTCCGGCTGCATCACTCTGTTGATGCGTAGGCCACTGCAGCTGGACACGCCGGCGTGGGTATTGTGTCGAAGAACTAAATGGAAGCGTCTCTACTTGATTTGATACCCATCGGTAGTCGCCTCTACTCGGTTCGTTTGGCAACGTTTCTGAGCTAATCTCGAGAAAGCGAGGTCCACCTATCGTGTTTATTGTATCTGGTTACGCTCTAACAGACTGTAGCTCTGAGTCTGCCATATACAGTTTCTATGACGCTCCTAATGCTTTCTTACAACGAGCCAGAGGCTCAGGAATCTTTGTAGTTGCTGGTGACTTGCACGCCCAGTTGGGAAGACTAAGCGCTGCTGATGCCTGATTAAGTGGTCGTCTTGGGTTGGGTAGGAGACGCACAGACAACGAAGAGCGCTTGGTTCAGATGTATGTCGATCACAGACAGAACCAATCTTCGGTACAGCCTCAGTAGCTCAGTGGGTTAAGGAACTAACTTACGGACCGGAGGGTCCGTGGTTCGAACCTAACCTCAGCATCTCGACTGCTCCTTTCTAGGCTTGGGCAGAGTCGTTCTTTAAGATAACTTTGATGTCGAACGCAACGTATGGTTACCTTTTTGGTGATTTTCATAGCGTTGCACTATTTCGGAAATTTACTTTCGACACCAACAGAATAATCGTTCTTCACTTTTAGATAGTCAGTGGGCTTACAATGAGTTCACCTTTTGCGATAGTTGTGATCATGCGTTCGTCTCTTCCTGGTTGGTACTTTGTTGAGCAATGTTTGAGAATTCTCGGTGCTGTTCCTGTATGGCTGATCCCAAAACCGATCAGGCATCACGGCAATTCCCGACGTTTGCAAACCTTTGTTGTTCTTCGGTCCCCAGGTGAAATGTAATTCGCAGTTTTTCCGTGACCGGAAGAAAACTTATTCGAGTCAATTCAGAGTTCTCGTGGAGTTTTTTCCCTCGGTAGCTTGTAACATGCGGGGTAGGTGCCGGACGGGCACTGACTGTCACACCTTAAGTATCACTCCCAGCTGTACCTTCGTCGCATGTTGATCCAAGTGTCTTGCCCAGTTTTGTACATGTTACCAATTTCCTTTCATTTCGATTGTTGTAGCCCGTGAACACACTACTTTACTGAACCCACAACTACTCTATATACGCTTCCGCACGGACGTTTTGGTCCACCTGGTGTGTGTCGTTTTTTCCTGGTAATGGATAACGACGCGAGTAATATTCGGTCTGTCGCATATCCGGTTGATGAAGAGCTTCCGAGTAGGAAGAAACCCTGAGTCGCTGTTAAGTTTCTTGTAGTGGGGGTCCTATTTACGGCCATCTAGCTCACCCGAACTGATAATTTGGCATCGATCCACCAGGTCGAAGTTAATAAATTTTGTACTCGCATCCCTTTACTGCCGTACTAGAATTACCCATCGGATATACTTCTATCCCCTCCCGTCCATCGTCGCGCTACGGAGATTCATTTCATGTCTGTGGTCAAAGAAGCTGACGCCCTGAAACATCGAAGCCAAGTGATGAATCAGATGCAAGCTCGCGACCACCACCAGATTTGGACGGGAATACTCAACTACAACTTCCAGCAGTATTGGGACATCAATCGACGATTAATGGAGCCTGGTCAGTAGGCATATTACATTCATGCTATTGATCACCTGGTAATATTTCATACTCTTGATCAGTGCTGTGATCTGGCGTTGAAAAGTCAACTAAAAGATCTTTTTTCTAACTTGTGGAGAGTACTTTTAAGGGGTGGCCAACAGGTGAGCACATTCCTATGAGACCAAGCCACTCACACTATGAGGTTGTATTAGTGGTGTGGTTTCGACTTTTGATTTTTTTTTACATTGTATTGGGTCTTACAACTCGGATACTTGTACGGATTTACCACTAAGCGGGTTTAACTCTCCTTGGAGTTAATTGCTATGTAAAGACTAGACAGAACCTCTAACAATCAGACGATTGCGCGCACAACCTTCTCACGCATTGTCCTTTAACACGTGCTTTCGTCGTTTATTTTTAAACTATCATATTTTATTCATCAGCCGCTTTTGGTTGGTCATCGTGTTTCAGTAAGTGTTTTGTTGCTCAGAATCTGTACTCCAGTCAACTGGCTTCACCAGCACAAAGAGTGAGATCAGCTTACGTTTGAATGACATTTGTCTGTTTGTGTTTGATTTTGTCTAGAACATCTGGGTTATGGTGGCTTGGAATCATCCGGGGGGAATACTATTCATTCAGTCCCTCAGTTCACTAATTTGCTCATCCAGTACTGCTTGGAACGTGGCCGGATGGTACCTTAGTACCTTAGTATCTATGTTAACAGCTGCATACCAACAAAATCACGTACAGCTTAGAGTTACCCATAATCTCACACGCAAGGAGTAACCTGAACTAACATGATTTATGTAAATGAGACACACACAACAGCAACAACACCACCACCACGGACAACGACAACGGAACGATTTAAGGTCGCGGGGATCTTGGTAATCAGTCTTAATTGAAAAGCTCTCCTGTATTTGTTGCAGTCTTGTTTCTCTTTGCACAAACGATTGGGTGGTAGTATTTCGTCAGTTGGCGTGACCTGCCTCCAATCTGTTATAATTCATTTATAAACAGCATGGTTACGAACATAAAAACTAAATCCAAGCGGTATATGTGGAAGGGTGTGTAGGAGAATATTGGGTAAAACGAAGGAAGCGTTTCATTTGAAGGCGTACCACCAAAGTATGTAAGAATGTTTGGTGTGGAAACGCGTGTAAAATGAAGAAAGGACAAATAATGCTCTTCAGGGCGCGGTGAGCACTAGCACAGTCAAGACTCGCACATCAGGCGCAAAGTTTCAGTCATATTAGATCAGTTTGAAAGTCAATGGCAAGAATAAACACTCAACGCTGTGTACCACGTGTAAAATGGTGAGCAAACACAAGCCTCTGACTGTGCCCAGTCCAAGTCCAATAAAAGTCTTGGTGGTTAAATATCCGAGGAAACACTAGTTCTGTAAACACAGGTCATTGATTCGACAGGGGCGAAGCGGTCCACTATCGTAAACCATGACCGTCAACACTATAATGTAGACTATCGCCCCAAGCGCCCACCACATCTTCCTTGGTGTTTACACATGCACCTTGGGCTCAGATTGCGATGCGCTCTCCGCTGCATCGGGACTGTTGCACTCAGACTTGGGATACCAAGTACCCCATGTTGTTTAACGGCGTGTATGTAGTTGATCGGGGTGTCCGTCGGTAGACGTAGCCAGCCACGAATATAGTGCCTGAGGTAGTTGTCCAACCTTTTGAGCGTGTTTCGGTGGACTTAGCCGAGCACGAGCAAATATGTCGGTTTCCGTATCAGGTAGTTCCTCGTGATCTCCATTTTTTGAGCGGCTTCAACGGGGCACGCGTCACCTCATCGAGAAGCTTGAGCAGGTGCTGTCGGTGGTTGAAGACCCCCTTTTTCCTTCGAAGTAAAGGGAATGCCCAAATATGTTACGGAATCTGTCGAACCCGGAGGAGCAATGAGTTTCTCGGCGAAGCAAAATGGTTTGACTGAGACTGCTGTCGCCCGATGTTTCCTTTCCCCATAAATCACCATCACTTTCGTCTTTCGGGCGTTTATTTTCATGCCAGCTCTTCCCACCTTGACCGCAGCGTCTTCCAGCCTCTCTTCAAGGCGAGCTTGATTTTCTGCACACACGACACAGTCGTCATCGAAGTCAAAACCATCTACTAGGGTGTCATGGAGCCCAGTTGAGGCATCGACAATCCAAGAACCTCATCCATTACCATGAGGAGCAATAATGGGAAGAGTAAATCTCCTTGCCTCACACCTCTGTGGCAGTGAACTTCAGAACTGAGGAAAACTGCTACATCATTCTTATAAGACTATGTGATGTATCGAACTAGAGATGACGGTGCTCCAAACGCCTCGGCAGATCTGACAATTGTGTCATGCGAAACCGAATCAAACGCTTTTGAGATATCGACAAACGCCAAGCCGAGGTTAGAAGCAGTCACTGAAGAGTGACGAAGCAGGGCATGTAACAGCGATGTAGCTTCCAAACAGCCGTTTCGATGCAGAAATGCAAACTGAATTGAGGGCAGTTGCAATATACGGCTCCAGCGATCTCCAAGCACTTTATGAAGGCAACAGATAAGAATGGATGACACGGAGATCGGTCTCAGTTGATTCGGTGAAGTCGGATTTGGGACCTTCAGAACTATGGCAATACTGGCAGGACACAGATGTGGGGGGAAAACTCCTAGATGATAACAGTAAGTCGAAATACTCAGCGAGCACGTTAACATTGAACCGGCGGAGCATCCTGGGCGTGAGCTTGTCCAGGCCTGGGGACGAATTGCCCATTAAACAGATCGTACGGCCGACTTCCTCTCTTGTGATTGGCTCGATCAGACTACAATAGGATGGTACTATTACGCGACTCTGCCGGCTATCCACGTATTTCGGAGCTGAGAACACCTGTTTCCAATACTGCTCGGTGTCTAGAAGTAGGCCGCAGTTACCTTTGTATAGATCTTTCCATGACCCATTGAGCACAGCAGATGCTGCATCTTTCCTTTTTTGGTGGTATAGGGTCTGTATGGCGGCGTAGTTGGCTCGGCGGATCTGCTTTCGGTTGACCGGTACACGATGGGCTAGCTGACGACGGCGTCAGGATACAGTTTTCCAGGTGTGTGGAAGTGTCTTGGGGCATGGAGGTCCAGAAGCGACGGGACTTGCTCCGGTGTCATGATGTCAGATTGCAACCCTCGGGCAAATACCAGAAGGTCCACACTAGCAAGCGAACAGTCAGAACGGGATCCCAAGAGTGATACGACGCAATCCGCTAGATGCTCTAGTAATCGGATTCTGATGACTAGGCCGCTATTTGACTGATGGTTGGTCAGTGCCAGTAAATGATGATTCGTCCTGTTGGGCTTGCCACTTGAGCACTCGTAACCTGGTTTTAATGCTGATAGCCGATCGACCAGGGAAAATACTGCTCCAGTCTCGTGAACAGCGCGGTTTGTGTGTCACAAGACGGATACAAATTGCCAGCCAGGTGCAAGACTGATTGTGACTGTTGTTGGGACCAGCGGACACCGGGATTCTCCACTCGGTCAAGCTTATATGCATTATACTGTGTGTGTGCCGGCTGGTTAGACTCAGGGCAGTCTTCATCGGAAAAAGCCGGCAACTGTCCGTACAGACCTATTGGGCGACCACGTTCGTGCCAACACTTTTATGGACGTGAACTCGACGGCAGGCTAGCAATCCAGCTTTCGATTTGTAGCACTTGCCACACTCCTCACATGTGAGCCCCACGAGTATCCCGTGTACTGGTTGGAACTGGTGTGTAGAAGCCAGATGATTCGTATTGTGCCTTGTTGAAAGTAACCAGCATAGTGGGACCAAACAGATTGGTTAGCCCCGTCGGGAGTTGCTGAACTCCTAGCACACCTGGACTGACGTCCGGCTACCCAGCCGGCACCACAAAGGTGGTTCAGTGCGTCGATTAGAGGGTGTTTCACTACAATAGCTCTCATAATCGTCGTTTTGTGTGTCTACTCGCCGGTGTGGCAGAAGAAATAGCATAGAAAAGTTTAGGGCAACATTCCGTTTTTTGTGTGTGAAAAATGCACCCGGTGGTTAGTTTTCTTGGATATTATCACACGAAGCAGGACAACATACCTAAAAGACCTTTTTCTGTCTTACTCCTGCACTTCTAGTCAGGATTCCTCTCGGCAAACTGTACTCATTGTGACGTCACTGAGCGAACAAGCGGCGTGATTTCTGGCGTCTTCGGGGTCTTCACTGTGGTCCATATTTAATTCCTTCTTACGGGTTATTAGCAACTGAGCTCTATAACTCTCCCCCGCTTACATAGTAACCTAACTGGATATTACACATCAACGATATCAGCTACTGCCTCCGATGCGTAGCGCCCGACCCTTTTTCACTGGTCACCAGTGAACGCAATTGTCTCAGCTGTATCAACCGCACAACATGTACACCGTTTAAATCTGGCCCTGGTGATGGTTCTTATTCTCTGATTCCGTCCGTCAGACGAGTCATAGTAAGCGCCCTAAAGAAGGAATTATCTTAAGTACTATACGGTGGTTTTTCATCTCCCTGTTGTGCTGTGCTGTTCCAGCCATCATCTAAGTGTGTGAAAGTTTGTCTAGGCCCAGAACCGTCAGAAAATGTAACCTGGTCACTTTTTTGTGTTGAAGCTACTTGTAAAAACTAATGCGACGTAACAAAACCGTAGGAAACCCGAAATACCGTCAGGTAGACCAAGCGTAGACAGGAACAGCTGGTGATTAAGCACTGAGATATGAACGTGATTGTTCTTCTTTGGAGCCTATGCGATGAAGCCAGAAGATGTCTTCGCTCACCATCGATTACCCACACAATGCTGTCACAAAGCATGTTGAGCAATAAACACACCCGTTCAACGAAATCCTGTCCTCTGCACGGCGGTGCCGACCGATGTAGTTCTGTTGACTTGCTACACATAAACTCTGAAGTTTATGACATGTACCATATAAGAGACCACCACTCAACACTGAGCAAACACCACACCTTCCTGCAAGTGTCTAGTCCCATCGTGTAAGTTATCCGGAATGAACATTTGTATAATGGTCTATAACGAATTTCAACATCAAGTTTATATCTGAGTATTCATATTATGGGCACTTTTGTTTCAGTGATGGGTCGGCTTCTCCAAACATGGTTTCAATCTTCTCAGCATGTGGCTACAATAGTGCGCAACTTGCAGATAAATGCATCCTCTTTCCACTGAGCCTTTTTTCTCCTTTGGTGTCTGGATATCAACTCTGGATTGCATCTGTAAGGGTCTGTTTAGTGTGGCGAGAAACAGCAATATGACGCTAATTGCTTTTGACGTCGCGTGCACTAATTTCGGTTGCTTGTATGTTTTATGGAAACGATATGGTAAACTGGATTTTCGTGTAATCAGTTTGTTCTGCCCTCACGACACCGATGATTCCGCCCAGGCAGTTTTACAGTGTCTTGCCATCGCTTGTTCGACGGGTTGCTTTTCATACTACTCAAACAACCGGCGAGTAAGCAATTATTTTAACACCTCAACAACCGCTCCACGCGTCATTTCCCTGGGAACTTCTAGCCATTTCTGTTCGAGCGAAGCATGGGAGCTGATAAGCACCTGATACAAAATCAACGGGGTTTTCCAATGGCGGGATTTGAAATACAATATAGGTAGGTTCGTATTCAAACGCCGACCTGAGTTTTATTTTTTTACGTGTCCACAATGCGTGGACCACTGGAGGGCTGCGCCTACATGTAGTAACCAACGGTCCACATATAGCTGGACGTACCACTACGGATTAGCCTTTGATTTCGATGAAAGCCGGAAGGAATAAGATCGGCTTGCAAGCCTGGAGAGGCTTTTGCAGCCTACAGTACAACGTTAAGGAGACCGAAATGTGAAATGTATAGACTTAGCAAAAGTAACTGTTGTTGATTGGCGGAATAGTTTTCGAAATTTATTTCCCGAAAGTCATTGTTGTAGTTCAGCAAACAGGTGTTTCTCTTCTATCAGACTGGAACGATTGTTTTTGGATGACCCGTGTTTGAAGGCGATGAAATGCCGCAGAACGCTTCTATGATGCGGTTTCTAAGAAGCGTTGCAGAAAAACCGAGAACACTTGTGATGAGATGAAGTGAAGTGAGCACACATGGTAATCCATAGACAAGGCAATCGTCTACAAAACAAACCGAACTACTTGGATTGAAAGACATCGTCACAAGCCTGCTCAAATGATACAACAACAGAATTGCATTGCAGAAGACGCATTCAGGCATATTCTTTTTGCAGAAGCTTGCCGCTTAATCCTGATAACATTTGAACAGTCGGGCAATATTGAAGAATTAGCATGCTCAGATATCTCACGCAATCAGGCACATTTCAGAATTCGTCATTTCTCGGTTGGCTTTGGTGGAACTCACACTTATGGTCACTTGGAAATTGTGGTGTTGAAACACTATGACATACAATTTACTTTCTCTTATGTTGAAGGGTTACTTATTCCCTGGAATGTATTGTTATGTATAGCCTCCTTGATAAGCGGTACATTTGTGGGTATTCACGAAAAAAAGAGCCCTCGCAATAATTCCGTTGCAATGTGGTTCTAAATATTTGTTATATGGTTGCTGACAGTCTAATTGGCTGTTGTATAAGGTACCTTATTTCCTTTACTCGATTCAATCAAGTGCCGTCCACGTGGCTATTTTTTGTAATTCTCCCTGTTTAACTTGCTCCCCATTGATTTTTTTGACGATATTCTTTGAGAACACTGTCCCTGGAATCTAGAGGACAACTACGTTCTGTCACGCAATGTCTTCCAAAGATGTAATGTGTTGTTTGGTTGTATCGACCCGACATTTTATCTTTTTTCACCTGATACGTTAGTTTTACACGTGGCACGCAATCTTCAGAACACAATACACACGTGGCCCTTGCCTAATTCCAGTGTTTTTGTGCGCAATGTGATTATGCTATTAATGTCCCACACATAGGCTCTGCTTAATACTCACCCTAATTTGGCCATACTTTGTCCACGCGCCTTTTCAGTTGTTCACACCGCTCCTGAGCACCATTCCCCAAGCCGTTCGGTTTCTGCGGTCACCGATAGTGATACGGATCCCATCGCGGGCACCAACACACATTCTAGACGCAGCACGACCACGCCACCGCAGACACTGAAAACTTTTCGCCACATTCCATGTCGTCTATATCGAGCCGGAAAAACACGGGCTGATTGCTCTACAGGATACATACAAAAACGTATACCACCTTGTACTAGCGACGGCGTGTATCTGACTGTTTTGGACGTTACCACGAAACTGCTTTCTGTAGACGATAATAGTGATAATAGTAGCCCCGCAACTTCAGGTACGTTGATCGCTAACTTGTCTCTCTGAAATGGAAAAAAATGAATTCTTATCACCTTGTCATGCAGGCCAGACTTGGGACGTCTGCCTCAACTCAGTGCGGTACGGGCGATTGCGCTTTTTGGTGTTTGATTTGGTTTCCCGCTGATGAATTCTGGTAGGCAAAACCTGCATACTGTCAGCAAAGGCGCGTTCGCTAAGTACTCCTACCCGCCACCATTTAATCACGTAGTGTGCATCTGTCAAGTGGGATAACATTGATAGTGCGGATGAGATTTTCGTCTAGTCATCGCTGTTTTCAGTTAAGATTTAAGACCCGTAGACAGCACCAGAGGGAGTGCTGGTAAGGATCCATACTCGATCACAGACAAAATAAAGTGCTCTGCTCAGCTGATACTGGCTGGGAGAGTTTGATTCATGGTCATTTCGGTGGCCTTATTCGTATATATTTTTCACCTATCGAAGCCGCTATTTTTAGTAGTCGACCAGCTTATACCAGTCCTTTTTCTATGACCCCTGCCTACTTTTAAGCAACATGGAACTCTCCTTTTTGTCCTTGCATGAGCAATGAACTTTGACGATATATTGTGTGGTTTTTCCATACAAAGCCATCTGTTTTTGTGTGAAGTTGTGGTCGTATCCCGAAAACCTCGGCTACACGAGCATCTTCGTCTTCATCAAGACGTTCGCTTGATGAATCCAGAGAAGCACGAAAATGCTTGTGAAGTTTTTTTTATTCAGACGCTTATCTAATGTTACAAGTCTTCTCGTCCAAAATCGTAACAGAATTGCGCTCTTTCGTGCACTGCTTTTAATCTGCCCGCGTTTTCGATCCGTCATGTATAATGTCAGTATTTGGCGACATTTTACTCAGATATTCTAACCTCACTTACGTGATTTGTTCTTCCAGCATTTCGCGCGAACTTCGCTTGATAGTTTCGCTACTATAGGATCGAATAATACGTATTCACTAGTCCTTTCAGTTATGCATGTGTTATTCATGTGCTTTGGAATTTCGACTTTCCGAATGCAACAATAACGAAAACCCTGGAAAAAAACGCCACCATGATAGCGTTTTCTTGAAGTGTGGTTCTTCGCGTTGTGTCATGCGGTGTGCCACAACTTTGTCACCGATTGGATTCACACAACTATATCAATGCCCTTTCGGAAATAACCGGTTTTTGAGTTACCTCACTGAGGTTAATTGTTTGAGGAAGATATACTGTTTGATGTCCCACTCATAAGAACTTTCGAACTCACTAGTTCAACTATTGTTTTGACTTTGTTTTCCAGAATACGTATTTTTACTCCACGGAATTTGTCTACCACTCGACGCTCCTATCCAGTGGATATGTGAACACATGGCGTACGCGGATAACTTTGTTCACATTGTTGCTTGGCCTCGATCTCGCTTCAATCGTGCCGTACTTTCTGCATGACACTTACCACACACACCCATAGAACATGTAACATTATCCTGCTCCTTTCGAACTGCTTCTTCTCATCAGTTTGTGACTTCTATTTTTGTGGACAAGATACGTACCAATTTCAGTGTCCACTTCAAACAAATTGACCGGGACCCAGTCGCGTCACCTTTAGCAGTCCCCCCCGTTGAGAAGTTCAGGCTGTCCCGGACGGTTAGACTAAATCACATCACACTGCTGATCTCACGTAATTTCGATGAGCGACCTGCTTTTCGAAATAAGGCTGATTTTCGCCGAAAGTTGTTCCTATTGGGTGAAAGGTGACTGAAAAACCCGGTGAACCAACTGAGTCGAGTTTGCTTAGTTCTACAAAACACCCATTTTTGTGATAATGTGGTTGGTAGTTGGTTAAAAATGTACACAAGTTCCAAAATGGTTAGGTGATCCCCACAGAACCGTGGGCTACTCGAGGAAGCACGCTAGGCTTGTTTCTACTGTGACGCGTTTTGTGCTCCAGGCTTTCGTTATTTTGCGTTTGTTTGTGCCGTTTGTGTTCAGTAGCATCACAATGGGCTGGCTTGCCACATCTGATGAAGATTGTTCGCGTAGGATATTTACAGATACATAGATGTAATGAAACATAGTGAAGATCACTTTAATGGAATTCAGGTCAATGAATTATAGTACAATGCAATACACATAAAACACGTTCGGGATAACGGTGAAGCAAGCGTGGAGGTTCGACTTTCAAACCGGAGGACTAAGTGCCAGTCACCTATATGGTTGGCCCCATACGATGATGAGAGAGAGATGGTCATCTGCGGCACTGTTTTAGGTTGAAAGCTCCAGAATGTTCAAGATGTTAGGACAGATCGTCTCCAGATATAGACGTTAAATGAAATACAAATTCGTTCCACTTTGGCAGAATAGAAACCAACATAAAAAATTCATACGAGTACGTAAATTAAATTTAACGTACAAGTAGATACAAACGCTCACTAAAGCCAGATACATTAAGCAGAGAACCAGTGAAGTCTTCAGTAGGTGTGGGCTCGGGTACATACCAGAAGTACAGGGAGGATTGTTCACTACCAACTCAGTACTATCATACTAAACGTCATACGGTATCGTTTCATTACGAATCATTTAACGGGAGCCTGAGTCGTCCCCGATTTGCTTGTACTCGTTTACTTTTATGCGAGTACTTCTATAGACAAGGTAAATCAATGAGATCAGCTCATAGGCAGTCTGCTGAGGGGATCGGCGGTCGTTATACTGAGGTACCCGACTATGTTTCGTTTTACTCATCGTTCTCTGCAACGTGGGGTCGTCAAATAGATTACATGTAGTCAACTATGTTCGATAAAATAATTACTACCTCTTTGCTCAGGTCTGAACAAGAGGACTCGTCGGTTCTCTCTCAAACACACTAACTAAACTCTGTTGCCTTGTTCGCAGTCCTCTATAATAGGAACAAGACTGGTTCTAATCTGTTCATCTGACTACAAGAAAGAAACGATTGATCTTCTCACGGAAAGGTAAACAGGCAAGGCGGAATCCGGGCTTACGTTGAGTTAGTTGCAAGGCATTACAGTGCAGATCCCAGATCTAACAACTTCGCGTATACACACGAACTATACAGTGGTTTCTGGTGCACAAACCAGGTTTCCCTTGAGATCTGCCTTCGACGTAATGAAAATCAGCAACCTACGGTTAAAACGACACTTCCTGTTAGTTGAAGAATTAAAGCGGCCGAAAATGTGACTCCACTTTGGTTCTTGTGGACGGCGCGTCTGAACGACAACCGTCCATAGTGAAACTGTCATTTACGTCGTATGATTCGAACCTACCAAGTTTCAGTGATAATGAGGGTAGGTTTTTAAACCCGCAATACTTGATCCATAAATGGGACTGTGTCCTAATTTATCCTAAAGAATCATAGACCTTTTTTGAAATTCCGTCACTGATTGAGCCGGAACTTATGCAACATATAAACTTAAGATGAGCCTAGAGATTAGGAGCACTCATCACAATTTCCAGACTTCTTTCAACCTTATAACTTTCAATGGATCGCCCGTAGGTATTCAGTTCACCTAACTAAACTTAGAGTATTACTAAGTTGAACAGAATGCATGCAACTGTAAGGTGGTAACCATGGTAACCCATTTTCTCATTTTTGCTGAATATGATAAATAAGATGATTTGCAATTCTTTGCGAATGACCTCAGGTTGATAAGTAAGACTGAGTCATCCTACAAGGCTGAACTGCTGCGCTCATATGCAAAGCTATATTACACGCTTACTGACGTGAAGGTGTCCGTGTGTTCTGTGAGAATACAGACTGATGTTCCGTTAATCAAGCTTCAGTTATACAAGGTAGGCTAAAGAGGGGCATTTTATCTGAGTGCTATGATGCTTTCTAAAATAGGTTCACACTGTCCACTACGACCGGGTAGAAACATCTTGAAGACTCAACCGGAGGCCCAGCATCTTCATATTTCTGTAAACAGTGGAGCTGTATCCTCCAGAGAAATGAAGCCCAGAGAGCTTTCAGTGAACCATTCGTTGAGATCAGGTTACTTTCGAAAGTCATGAATCCTGTGCTGAGGTCTCACGAGGTTTTACTAACCGTGTCCTTATAATTATTCCGCCTCTGCTGATACGGGGGTTAGACAGTGATGTCAAAAGTTGTAGGTGGCGCATCGGAAATGGAACGCTAGTTCCATAATCTACAATAGTGAAGTGTTGCTCCTGATTGCTCAACTGAGCTGCCAAAAAGAATAAACAGATTGTGTATCTTGAAATCTGGAACGTACCGACTCCTAGACAAACCTGATGGGCGGTCTATCCTCGTTTTGCTCCCTGACGCGAAACGACACGTCGGATTCGCAGTTACCCGTAGTATTAGTCATAAACTAGTAAGTCCAGTTGTTTTCTGAAAATCACCGTCTGACCTCCACTAGTGATGGTAAGATTTGTCATATCTATCAGTAACCAGTTCGTCACATCCGCACTTGGAAGAGAACAAGTTATACGAAAAGGTGTTGGACTCCTTCAGGTCTACATCTTGAATGACTGCCACTTTGTGTTAAGCAATTTTCGAGTGAACAAGGACGCTGTAACAAGATACTACAGCCTACGAGAAATACACTCATTTGCAAATCAATTTGGTTTTCATGAGAGACTCAACTGAATCTCTCGTTTATGATAGTCTACAACTGAAACATTAGGCGGCACATTCAGTTGTAGAATATCATAAGCCAGAGATTCAGTTGAGTCTCCCGTGAAAACCAAATTGATTTGCAAATGAGTGTATTTCTCTAAAAGGAACCTGGAGTTTTTCATGCTGCTTTATCCGATCTATTAGCTGTCTTGGACTCGATTGTGAAATGTTTCAGCAAATTGTGGTGAGTGTTCAAAGCTTCATCATTCGTTTATTTACTGCTGCCAGTTAGTTAGACAGCCGCGCGTTTGAGACAATACTTTTCAGCTAGATCACAGAAGCTGGGTGAGTGGTGTTCCTTCTATGGGAATAAATCGGCCGTCCAAAATGGCCTTCTCAGTGGGATGCCAAAGACAAAAATTTTGCGTTTACAATTGTTTCCACAAGGTGGGAATGAGAGTTCGTTCAGTGGTATGTGATAGCGGTGACTTTTCCGCTGATGATCTGACTCCGTCGGAAATCCGACCAAGTTTAAAAATTACCGACTCTATGTTACGATGATTATTCAGACAAGACAAAGGATTTAGGGTCATCACTTACAAAGAGTAACAAAAACTTTTCTCCGCACAGCTTTTATGTACCGTTTCCACACTACCTGTTACCTGTGATCTAAAACTTGTCAGTTCAAAGCAGGCAACAAAGTAAATCGGAAGCCGGATATCTGTTATATCCGACTGCTGTCCCCACTCTAGCGCCTGGTGCCAGAAAAGAACTCACCTACAAGAAACACAGCACCTCTATTGTAACAAGCGAGTGCGTGCGAGTGTAGAAGTTACAACGGTCCCGCGCTATTTAAGGTGCACATTCTGACATTGATCCAGGCTGTCTGATAGGCGTTTAGTGAACACCCATCAACATCGATCGTGCCTCTGAAATGCCTGAATACGTATCATAGTCGGCCATGGGTCTCTGGCGTACGTGAACACTCATCGGCTTTTGCTGAATTAACTAACTGACTGGATCGGATGCTCGCCGGTTTTCCTGCTGGGATTTAGGTGAAGGTTTTGTCAGTTGGTTCCAATCGTTCTGGGGTAACTTTCAAGAATCTGACCTTCCTGATAGTATCAAATAACTGTCGTATCGTAGGGTCGTCAGTAAAAAGAAGGCGAAAATTTCCCGGCAAATATCTATTGTATCCCTCTTTATTTTTTGAATTGAAACTCTTTCGAATATGTTATGCCTTGAATGGTAGCCAACTTAAATAAAAGTCTTGATTCAAAGAACACGATTAGTCATTCCAATGAGGTTTCAAGCACCAGGGGCGAGATGGCTCAGGTGGTTAGAGTGCGAATCTACTAACTGGAAGGTCCGTGGTTCGAACCCGACCTCTGCCACTCGACTTCCCCTGTCTAGGCTTGGGCAACCTGGCAGTATCCCAGCCCTCGTGCTTCCTTCAGGTGGCATGGCAGCTAGGCACCGGAAGGTTGCTACGGCTGAACGCTTTTTTTCTTTCGAGACTGATAAAAGTACAGCTACTGTACAAGTCTAATGAATATCCAAAAATTGACACCGATGGTTGATTCCCTGTGAGTTGGATTATGAGCAATATCAAATCAAGGAGGTGTGGTTATCAGCAGAGTTATTACGGAGATTGACTCAAAAGTTAGGAGGGATTGACCTACAGATAAATTTTGCAGTGGATGGTCAGAGAAAAAGGACTTGGTGATTGGAAGTACACCAGGTCTATCCAACTGGCTGGCCTTTCTAGCAGGCGCTTCTCGCGCTTAACGTACATCTGACAGTTGCGCATTTGGGGTAGGTTATCGTCAACTATCTGATGGTGTGATTGCACACAATTTCTTTACACACTGACCAAACTTTCGGACCTTGCATTCGCTTGTTCCAGAGTGACGTTAATTCGCTTCCTGTTTGCTTCTCCACAACTACAGTTGAGTTGTATATCTCCGACAGAAGAATTCAGTCGTATACAACCCCTAACTCTTTCACTTGCGTGCTGTTGTGGTGACATCAAAA